TCTTTCTTTCTTTCTTTCTTTTTCTCTCTCTCTCTCTCTTTCTCTCTCTCTTCCTTCCTTTCTTCCTTCTTTTCCTTCCTTCCTTCCTTCCTTCCTTCCTTCCTTCCTTTCTTTTTTTTAAACTTTCATTTGTGTTTATTTTATGATGCATTCATTCCCGTTTTTTGTGTCTTTGGGGATATCTTTTCACAACCTCCTCTTCTAGCTTTGGAACCATTTGTTCTTTTTTTCAGTGAGGATCATCTCAGTGTGGCTCACATATGTGTTAATCCAGCCATGAGTGCTGTGAGTTCAATGACACATTTTGGGTGCTTGGTTCACCTGGATATATTTGATGACTAGAGAATCTCCATCTAACCCCCTGAGTTCAGAATTACTTTCTACATTTTAAAGCATGCACAGCAAAAATTCAGCACTCTTTTTGGGCCACCAACCCTGTGCCCTGCCCCACAGTTCAGCATAGGCACACGCACTGACTCCACCACTATAACTGCCAGCACACATTGCTTCTTCAAAATGACATCTTTCAGGGCTAGCAAGATGGCACAGTGGTTAAGAGCACTGACTGCTCTTCCAGAGTTCTGTTCCCAGCACCCACATGGCAGCCTGCTTCTGGCCTCTGAAGGCACCAGGAACACATATGGTGCACATACCTGTACAGGCAAACACTCGTACACAGGAGATAAAAACAAATCTTTTAGTTGGACGGTGGGTGTCACACACCTTTAATCACAACACTTGGAGGCAGAGGCAGGTGGATCTCTGAGTTTGAAGCCAGCCTGGTCTACAGAGTAAATACTACACAGAAAAACCTTGTCTTGAAAAACCAAAATGACGTCTTTTGGATACTCGGTGGCTTTTTGGATGTTCATATGCGTGATGGCTTGAGCAGTTTCATGGATTTCTTAAAGTGAACACAAAGAATTGAACTTCTTTACTTGCATTTTATAGGTTTTCCTGGGTCAAAAGAGTAGCAAGAACAGTCTTCACAGGTTAGCTCAGGCCACTTACAGGAAGAGCTGTTCTTTTTCTTTTCATTTTTGTAAAAATAAGCACAACCTAATAAATGTGACTTAATACTACATAAATACTAGCAGAGTCCAGGATGTCTGTGTCAATACCACATGTGGCAACTTCTGGAGATGAAACACTCCCCGTGGCAATGACAATGTGCTTTGGGGTTTACTGACTTAGTCAGCAAAGTTGTCATAGCAATTGTCATGTTTCTACTATTAGACTTTTGTTTTCACTGTTTTGTTTATTTCTAACACACAAGTTACACACTTTATTGAGACAAGTCACATGATATAAAACTGCCAATTTTTAAAATTTCAAAGTACACAATTCAGTGGTTTCAAAATGTACATTCCTGGTATATTCCCAATGTTGCATAACATTTATGACTTTCTTAACTCCAGAACATTCTGTCACCCTAGAACAAAACTTCACACCTCCCATCTTTCTCAACTTTGGAACTACTACCACTATTTTATTTTCTTTCCATATTTTTTTCCGTTCTGTACATTACATATAAATGGAATCATAAATCTTGTGGCACTTGTGTCTTGCTTCTTTCATTTAAGCTAATATTTTCTAGATTGGTCAATACTGTGGATGTTCCTTTATCGTTATGCAGAAACACCACACTGTTTGTTCACTAGTTGACGGGCATTTGAATTGCTTCTACATTTTGGTTTTTACAAATGAGAGTGTGGTATTCAAGATTGAACCCAGGGCCTTGCACGTCAGGTGTATGTTGTGGGGGAGAGAGCATGGGGAGGGACAACGGGAATTGGCATTTGGGGGGTGGTGTGGGAACCTAGCAGTAGAACTCCCAGGATTCTGAGGGTGACCCTAGTGAGGACTCCTAGTAATGGATGGTACTGGAGCCTGAACTGGCCATCTTCTGTAACCAGGCAATTTCCAGTCGTAGGACTGGACACCAACCCAACCACAAAACCTTCAACCTACAATCTATCTTGCCTGCAAGATGTGCTGGAGCAGTGGAGGTGCAGAACTTGGGAGTGACCAACCAATGACTGGTCAAGTTCAAGGTCCATGCCATGAGAGGGAGTACACTGCCTGGATGGCCAGGAATGGGAGGCTGAGCAGCCCAGAGACCTAGGATAGAAAAAAAATCAATACGTTGATTTTTAGTGATATTCTTATACACTCATAGATTGGTACTAGCCTAGCCAGCAGATGGGAACAGATGCAGAGGCCCACAACCAAACATCAGGCAGAGAAAAGGCCCAAATTGGAGATCTCCTTCAGGTTCTTCCCCCTCAAGCTCTAAGAACCCCATGGAAAAGGGGAGGAAGAATTGTTGGAGCCAGAGGACACCAGGAAAACATGGTCTAGAGACATCAACTAAATAGGGCTCATAGAGGCTCACAGAGACTGAACTAGCAATCATGGAGCCTGCATGGGTCTGTGCTAGATCCTCTGCATATAGGTTATGGTTCTGTAGCTTGGTGTTTTTGTGGGACTCTTTACATTGGAAGTGGGGGGGGGTATCTGACTCTTTTGCCTGCTCTTGGGACCCTTTTCCTTCTACTGGCTTGTCTCCTCCAGCCCTGATATGGGGATTTGTGTCTAGTTTTATTATGCATCTTATTATGCTGTGTTCAGCTGAAATCCCAGGGAGGCCTGCTCTTTTCTGAAGGGTCATAAGATGAAGTGGTTATGAGATGAAGAGGGTAGGTGGGGGAGGACTGAGAGGAGTGGAGGGAGGGGAAGTTTCCACTGGATGTATTATATGAGAGAAGAATAAATTCAAAAAAAAAAGAAGAAACAAAACAAAACAAAAAGCAAACAAACAGAAGACACCAATTGAGTGTGTGTGGTGTTGGAGACTGAACCCAAATGAGTGTGTGTGGTGTTGGAGATTGAACCCAAAAGAGTGTGTGTGGTGTTGGAGATTGAACCCAAATGAGTGTGTGTGTAGTGGGTAGCCATTCCAGCTTGGATATGGAAGTTCCAACCCCCATTGAGACTTTGGCAACTGTCACACCTACGAGGCGGGGCCAGGGGAGGCGCCTGGAGACCCGAGAGCTGGATGGACCAGCGCTCTCTCTGTGCACTCTCTCTGTGCCGGGACACTGAACGGTGAAGGTGGACTGTGCAGAGCTCCGGAGAACACCACTGGACTGCGATACACCTTCCCCAGACCCTGTGACCTACCTATTACTTAATTTGTGAGTTACGCCATTAAATAAATATCCTTTTAACTACGTGGAGTGGCCAAAATAATTTCTCCAATAAGTGTATGTGGTGTTGGAAATTGAACCCAAATGAGTGTTTGTGGTGTTGGAGATTGAACCCAAATGAGTGTGTGTGGTGTTGGAGATTGAAACCAGGGCCCGGCACATTCTATACAGTTGCTCTTCCACTGAGCTAAGACCCAGCTCTTAGTTTTTGAGACAGGCTGGCCTACAACTGATGATCCTCCTGCCTCAATTTACTAAGTGATGGATGATAAACATATGCTACTGTATCCTGCTGTATGTGATTTTGTTTTGTTTTTGGTGTTTTCTTTGTTTGTCTTGGCAAAGTCTCTATTATGTAGATCTATGTCCTGGAGCTTGCTATGCAGATCAGGCTGGCCGGGAATTCAGAGATCCACCTGCCTCTGGCCCTGATGTCCTGAGATAAAAGGCATGCACTATCTCATCTGGCTATGTTTAACTTCTTAAAGAAATACCAGACTAATTTCTACAGTGGCCACACTATTTTATAGTCCTCTCAACAATGTTGAGCCGTCTCTTGAGCCCTGAATACAAATTTTACTGATGGTTTTCCCCTCTGAGCACCTTGAAAGTTTTCCCCTTTGTGTTTGGTCTTGATGGTTACCATGAGAAATCAGCTGTTCATTCCATGGAGGATCACCTGTGAGAAGCATCCTCTCTCTTGCCACTTGCAAGGTTCTTCGTCTTCCCATAATTTGATGATGTTGCATCTTGACTCATATCTCTGAGTATATTCTAGTTGAAACTGGTTGAGCTTCTTCGGTTCATGTACTTAATCAAAACTGGAAGCCATTGCCTACTCTTTCTTTGAACATTTGTTATTCCCTTTTCCCTGACTTCCCTCTCACAGCTCCAATTATTTGTAGGTTGGAACATTGAGAATTTTAAGGCACCCGATAGGTCCTTCTTTTAACACATCTCAAATCATGGTCCATAGTCCAGAAACGTCATTATCTCCTGGGAAATAGTTAGACATATACACTCTCAGGCCCCATCCAAACTTAATGAAGAATCTTTGGCTATGAGACAACCCGTTGTTTATTTTGTTTTGTTTTTTTTTTTAAACAAAACCCCTCAGGCAGATTTTAAGCATATATTTTATTTATTAATGTGTGTGCATGATGTATACATCACAGGCACAAACGCTGCAGCATGCATGAGGAAGTTATCTTGGGAAGCCGCATCTCTCCTTCTGTCTTTACATGGGTTCCGGGGATTAATTACACTCAGGCCACCAGACTTCCCTGCTGAGCACCTCTGCCTGCTGAGCTGTCTTACCAGCTCTCCCTTCTGGACAATTTGATGTATGCCAAAGTTTAAAAATCAATGATTCTGATGCTTTTGATTGTACCGATTTACCGTTCCTATGTACCTTTCAATCAGCTGATTAAGTAATAATTCCAGTCAAGTCAGACTTTCATTAAACTCCGACTAGGTGCTAAGCTTTGAGAATACAATGAAAACATTTCCCTTCTTATTGTCATGGTAAGCTGTCTTATAAGAAACTATCCAGCTGGGTGGTGGTGGCGGCAGCAGCGCACATCTTTAATCCCAGCACTCGGGAGGCAGAGGCAGGCAGATCTCTGTGAGTTCGAGGCCAGCCTGGTCTCCAAAGCGAGTTCCAGGAAAGACACAAAGCTACACAGAGAAACCCTGTCTTGAAAAACCAACCCCCCTCCAAAAAAGAAAAGAAACTATCCAGACCTGCCTTCATTGGATGCAAGGTAGGTTAGGGAGGCTAACCCATAAACAAGTGATAAAGGGCTATATAGTATATGCCCAAACAGAGTTTTGAATAGTCATTGTAAGGACTCGAGGAGGACTGGACACAGAAACTCACCCCAAAACTGGAGCAGAAGAAGCATCAGTTCTAGACTGATGCAGAAAAAAAGTCCTGGGATCCATGATGATTTGAGGAAAGGAGATGATGAAATAGCAGGGTGTGTGTGGAAGTGTGGTTTTGAGCAACTTTTTCTGTGTAGTAGGAAGAATTTACTTCTATCCTGGCTCTTAAACCCAATGCCCTGTGGCTGAGTCCAGCAGATTTTGTCCTTATTAGCATAGAAGAGGTATAGAAGTGATCACAGAGTGAGATGTGTGCCATTTATCATCTAGTTAGGCAGAAGACTCTATGAACAGATTAATAAATTGTGCATGACAATGTAAATACAGGCAAAATTCAACAGAGCTGTGTCATAAGCTTCTATCTACGTATAGTCCAACTTGTGAACTAGCTTGGTGTGAAGACAAAATCAGATCCCATATACAAGGCTCTTATTGTGGAAATTGACTGTGGGCATGCACTCAGTAATATCATAGGAACATTTGCTG